TCATTAATAAGGATCTTTTTAAAAAAATTTCTTAACTTCCCTTGTGTTTCCACATCATGGCTTTAAGCTAAAGTCTGACTGACTAGGTTTCTGTAAACTAGGTACAGGAGACCTGCAATCTTCCCTCATAAGGACTCAAAAGCACTTGCAGAAGTGCTTTTGAATAAACCTCAGATTCTGTTCTCACTGGCAGCACATTCTCAGGAGGACGGGGCTTTGGGAGGTTCAAGTTTTCCTAATTCATGGAAAATGATTTAAGAATAGATGAAACCCAACATTTCTTCAAAACAGAACCTTTGTGTTTCTCTGTGTGAATTGCTTCATCTCCCTGTTGTAGCATGTCTGAATTTTATTGCTCCCCTTTTTGTGTTGACCTCCCTCAATAATCTAGCACCAGCAAACCTCACTGCCTTTGCTTCTTTCTGCTTTCTGAGTTATGAAGTAGATGACAGGTGTGATTTAGCTTCCTACTTTCACCCCAGGCCACTTCTACCTTCTAGGACTCTTCATATTTTGATCCATCTTCAAGTTCCTTGTTCCCTGTTCAAGGCCTCCTGAGAAAAGAGATGGTGTGGTTTACATATCACAGTGGAAAAGCCTTCCTGAACAGAGCAAAGATTGGAGTCAAGTACTTAGTGTTGGGGGTCTGGCTTTAATCCCTTGATCTGCTTTTCCAACTCAGACAACAAATCAAGGAAACTGAGGCACATACAGTGAAAATGGGGGCACAGATTTCTCTGGGTAGTGGTGGGACTGGGGTCGTGGAGGCAGCCAGAGGGATCACAGAAGAAGTGTGGCAGCAGGTGAGAAACTTTGCTTCCTGTAACTAAACCAGGAGAGTCGAGAGAAGAAAGCCATGTTGCATTTTGATAATTCTTTATTTTGCGCCACTAGTTATGATTTTACTGGTAGGGAAAGCAGCGGCACACAAGAGGCTGAAATAAGAGACATGAAAGCCAATAGGAGTGGTTGAAGGACAACAAAATAGATCTGAAATAGAAGACATTGGTGTCGTCAAGAGACTGTGTAGGATGAGAGAGACACAAGGGAAGCAGGGGATGAGAGAAACTGGTAAATACTGTGAGAGGTGGGAAGTGAAGTAAATACATCTCCTTTCTAATTGGCAGGGAGTAAGGAAAAGTTTGTCGTGACAAACACTTGCGGAGTAGAAGGAGCAGGAATGCTGTGAGGAGTAGAGAGAAAGAGCTGTGAGCAGCTGAGAGAGAGAGTAAAGTCATGGAGGAAGAAGCTGAATGCAGAAAGATGAAGAAATGCCCAATGAAGGCAAGGTCAAACAGGAGGTTCTGCTGGTGAGTGGGATGATGCAGGGTTGAATAAGAAGGTGTGATGAGGAAGGTAGAAAATATGGGATCTAAGCAGCCTAACAAGGTGAAAATTTAAGTTATCCAGAGGAAAGATAAGGGAGTCAATGAAAAGGAGAGCCAATTGTTAAGGTAGAAAATGAATGGAGTGCGCAGGCAGCTGCTAATTGGGGGCACGAGAGAGCACAGGGTCTGCCTGGGCAGTGCGAGAAAGTGTGGGAGGCAGGAATTGGAAACTGAAGGAGAACAAGAGAAAACTGGCATTCCCACTTGTTTTTTTTGCCACTGTGATGCAGTGAACCAGCTTGCACAGGTCTGTTGCTCAAGTTGGATATACGGTATCAGTACAGCTACATTTAAACTTTAGCTAACTCAAGCAGGGCTTCAGATTTAGCTAAGACACAAACACTTCTCTGTAGCTTTGAGTTAGCAGAAGGTTTTCCATGATTTCTGCAGCCTGCTTGAGGCTTATCTGCTGAAGAGCCTGTTGCTTGGTCAGAATGTATTCTCCAGCTCTTCACGTGCAGGCCCAGCTGCTATGCCTTGGAGGGTGCAACTGCAAAAGTGCCACGCAGTATTTGTTTTGTCTCCTGGATGTACACATTTAATTTGCTCAATGTACAAGATAACGTGAAAGCAGTCACTCCAAAGAACCTGGCCTAGCATCTGAAAAACTGATTGATGCTCTTTGTAACAACCCAGATATTTACTTCACAACGCCATTTGCAGCTGAGCAAACCATTGGAAAGTAGAAGCGATTTCACATTATTGAAGTGTAGCCACACTTTCCATGAAGCATAACAGCAGTTACACACATCACCATCGGTTTAGGCAGAAAATCAGCAACATCGTGCCTTTTTAGCTTGCATTCACTCTCTTAGTCACAAAGCATCTACCTACTGGGAATTTGGCTGGCACTGATGTGGCAAAGCACCCTCCATCATGGCTCCTCTCCTGTGTGCTTTGCTGAACTACATATCAAACCAACAGATCTAAGCCTTAGATCTACACGGATTTTCTGCCCCTAATCCATTGGGGCTGAAAACCACAGGTTGTAACTTGATGTTTTATCCCCTAGAGAGCAATCAACAGGCGAACAATAATTTGTGGCAACGGATTTGAAGCCAGGGAATCTGGATCTTTCTGAGTCTTCCCTAAAGAGTAGCACTGAGAGGGGCCCACGGCGTACGGGTTTGTTTGTGGTCAGCCATGCTCACAGCTGCTGCTGAGCACCGGCCTGTACATCTGGCAGAGAGACAAGTCAGACAGGGACTGGCTTGAATGGCTACAAAACAAGATGGGGAGCTAGTGATCTGCCCTAGAAACCTCGGCGGGAAGCAGAGCGAAGAGACACACAAACCCCAGTGCTTTTATGTCTTTCCAGGTCTGTTGTCTCTACTTCTGCTGCCCACAGCTATTCCACAGGCAGCAGTGCTACGGCAGAAACAAAGAGATACTTTAATTGTTTCCAGACCAGCAGTTAGCAATGGTGCTGATACGTGTACCCTGCGCTCTGGTACTGGTTCCTGTAGGCTGCCTCCGAACACCCAGGGAGAGGCTCATTGGGATTCACCACCCCAGCCTAAGCTTATTCGGCTCAGGTGCAGCGTGCTGGGGAGGCAAGGCACTCACAGGCAAAGAGAGCAGCCCCAGATGAAATGCAGAGGATGCTCCACAGCAGGGCAGTGCTCCATGCATAGAGGAGCTCCTCATCAGTCACTCCAGGAGAGAAAAACTATATTCCTTGAGGGGAATTAAAAGACCATTTTGCTTACAAGCCATAATGATTCAGTTCTCTGTTCAACACCTTCTTAGATGGGGATTAGAGATATCAAAGCAGAGCTGGCAGTGCAGCTGAAATTTTCTTTGTTGTAACCAGCCTTCTGTAGCCTGGACCTAAAGACATGAGGGAAAGCTTGATTTCTCATCTAAAGCTGCTGATCTCACACGCTCCGAGAAGTGCTGAGTACCTATTGCACAGAGCAAGACGGTTCCTGTTCAGCACTGGTGCCAAAGCTGTGCTCCCAACGGAGGTTTCTGGGCCAGATTCAGGGTTGACGTAAACCACTAAGCCCATCCAAATTACAAAATGGGATGGCTGTGTGCATACCAATTCTCACAGCTGCGGGGGGGCTGGAAAGGCAAAACCCGTGGTGGTTTAGGCTAAGGCAGACCTTCCCAACACTTCATTTGACACCCACCTGTTAGTTGCTTTTCCTGCTATGCTACTTCTGTGGTGAGTGCAACTCCCCAGCGCTAACTTGTTATGACCTCACCAGCATCCATTTCCAACCTCACCGATACCTCCACTTATTGCTGCCACATTTGGCTAGGGAGATATTCAAATCCCACTCCTTCCATAGCAGTCAGCAGAAATTAAAAGTAATTTATTTCTAAGTCTTGCTAAGAATGGGATACGAGGTTACACTGATCCATGACTCTAGAAATTAGGTAGAGCCTCATGGAGGGCTGAGCAGCCATCCAAACATTAGCAGAACTGAGTCGTGGTTCCAGCTCTTCCCCTGAATTGCTCTGTGCCTTTGAGTAAATCAATTTATATATTTTTCCTCATCTATAAAATGAGAACGGTCGTATTTAGATACCTCAGGGAAGTTGTGAGGCTTAATTAGTTAATGTTAGTGCCTTGTCAGTTCTCATTACCACGGTATCTCCATGTTTATTGCTTTGAAATTGTAAAATGCTACTTACATGCTAAACATTATTATTTAGATGAGGTGGAGCGACTTAATCCAGTTTCTCTGTAAATACCAAAGGCAGAGAGTCGACATTCCTGGTATTGGCATTGGTATGAGGTCTGCCCTACTTGTAGAAAAGTCCCTCTGACATGTAACAAAACTGATTTATTTCCAGATTCCTGATGTAGCTGTTCTTGAAACAGTTAAACTGAATTTTTACTGGTTTACCTCTTTTAGTATGTGTAATTAAGTTCACTCAGAACAAACACAATTTAAACTGTTTAGACACAAGGTTCGTTCCAGTGCAAGGAAAACAGCTAGGATCGCTTCCTCTGGCATAAATAATCCAGGCAGGTCTCAATCAGAACAAGGTCCATGAAAGACTTTCAGAACCTGTCAAGTCACTCAGAGAAAAATGATTGTAGGCAGATCAAAATGGGGAATGGCTGTCAGATTCATGGATTGAAGGGATTTTAGATGCCCAGACTCAAAGGAAAAGAGCTAGTGACTAATCTGATTAGTCATCTCCAAACCTTTCCTAGAACAGTCCTGCTTGTAACTGAGGAGTTTTGAGATACTCAGCTTTTCCTGACACCACTTAAGGGAAAGCTCCACAGGAGCACAGCCTTGACCTTGGTGGCTATTAGAACAGACCTGGCAGCAGGACCAGGGGGCTTGGGATACTGGTATGGTTTTGCAGGTGCTTGTGCAAGGTGTTGTCTCCAATCACCATGAAAACCAATGTTCTAAAGCTGTCCAAAGGATCGCTTGCTGGACATGATTTGCATGGCAGTGGTCTCCTTACTCCTGAAATAACTGTCTGCTGGAAAGTAACCCTGCCTGGCAGATAGAGCCCTTGTGTCCTCCACAGCAGCTCCACTGTTCAGAGGCTTTCAGAGGTGTGGACTTAGGCCATGTGATGTATTTCAAACAGGCCACACGATGACAACGGCTGGTCACCTCTCTTGGTCACTAGTCCAGTTGAACAGCAGTGTAGAAGTAAAAAGAAAAGACCTGCTTGTGCCATTAGTGGCACCGTCATCCACTGACTCTTTCAGCTGTTTCTCTTTTACCACCTCTCAGCAAACACTTGCGGCTCAGCTCCAGGGGTTCCCATGCTGATAGGATGTCAATAAAACCTGCTAGCACTCCTTGGAGTTAGGCAGGAGGGATGCCGTAGGCTCCTGAACGGAGATTTGATAAATGGATCACAGTCTTGCCCAGAAGAACCTTCTGTCCCCAGCTCCCCAAACAGCTCTGCCAATGTACCTCTGCTTTCCCCTGAGTTCAAGATGAGGATCCTGCTGCAAACCACCTGCCTGTGGTGGAACAGTTGCTCCTGTGGAGGCACCTGAGTAGTTTTAAACCTGTGACTTGATAAAAATACAAGTAGGTGTGTAGTGGAGAAAGGCCTGCATTGGCAGGGAGGAGGGCCAGCTGATTTATTCTTTCTTCTGCACTTAATAGCTTTTGAGTTTTGGGATTCCCACAACCAGGCTTCCTGGTTCACCTTCATGTCTAAGCCTCATTTTCCTGCTGAGAAGCAAGGGATGTATGCCAGCAGCTCTATCTGTCTGCCCCAGCCCCCAAGATGCTCTCTGCCCTGCTACATCATGGCATCAAAAAACCCAACCACTTGATCACCCAGATCAACAGTATCATTTGCAAAAGCACTTGCCACCCAACCATCCTGCCAGTTATCTGAGTGGCCATCTTTGCGTTGTCTTTTCCCAGGGGCCACTCCCAGCAATATGCAGACAAAATGGGTAACTTTGCTGGAAGCTGTGGGGATGACCCCACTTTATGCTCTGGGAGAGGGCAGAATCTGCCCCCAAGCCCCAAAACGTGGCAGGAAAGCTTTGATTTATACATCTAGACAAAGCCCCACAGGGAACTGCCGTATGGAAATAAAACCCATTATGCTTTACAATTAGAGAGGGAAAAGGCTTGGGGTTAAAATATGAAGTGGTCAAGCTATTAACCTTCTCATTTAGAATGAATGGTCACTAAATTATGGGGCACATCTCCTTCCTCCTCCTCCAAAGAATGGGCCTTAGGAGGAGTGGCTGAGGGAGCTGGGGTTGCTTAGCTTGGAGAAAAGAACACTCACTGGGACCGAATCACTCTCAAAAACTACCTGAAAGAGAGTGTTGGTCTCTTTTTCCAGGTAACAAGTCATAGGACAAGAGGAAATGGCCTCAAGTTGTGCCATGAGAGGTTTAGATTGGATATTAGGAGAAATTTCTTACAATTTCTTACAAATTTCTTTACAACCAAAGGGTTGTAAAGCACTGGAAAAGACTGCCCAGGGAAGTGATTGTGCCACCTACACTGGAGGTGTTTAAAAGACTGTAGATGTGGCACTAGGGACATGATTCAGTGATGAGCTTGGCAGTGCTGGGTAATGGCAACTGATGATCTTAAAGGTCTTTTCCAACCTAAATGATACTGCTCCTTTACGTGAACAAGCAATAAAGCATAATTAATCCAGCTCTGAAAATATGATCAAATACCACCAGTGAGTCACAGCTGAGCCTGAGGGGGTTAAGGAACTTAAATCAGAGAGCCAGCACATCAGGCAAATAACAAATCCTCCTACCACCTCCTGTCACCACGAACACCCAGCTAGGGCTGTTCCCACCAGTGACATGAAGTGTGCTACCTTACGTGGACTCCATGGGGGGAAAGAACAGTTTATGTAAGCTCTTGTAAGGTGGACAGACTCTGTAAGGGATGGGATGGCCTCCATGGGAGACCCAGGAGAGCACAGGAAGCACATCCAGTGCCAGTAGAATTCCCTCTGGGTCACAGTGCTGGGGGGGCGGACAGGGGAGGAGGCAGGTGTGTGTTTGGAGAGGGAAAGGGATGGAGTTTCCAGAGATCCTATCTTTTAAGATGTAATATTGCATATAGGTTCTAGCCAATCCTGGGGGTTAAAAATCCCCTGGTAGTGTTTGGGCACATGTGCTCTGGGTACATTGTAAACTGAGCAGTTGCATTTTGCTGATCTTAGACCAATTCCAGACAACTTCAGCTGGAAGAAAAATTAATCTTCCCCCTCATTGGTAAAATGTGCCCTGCTGTGGACAGTCTATGCTAAAGGCAGCTGGACTGCTGGGAGGAAGAAAAATGGCTTGTTAGTACATACTGCAGAGATACTTTTGGATGGAACATGTTTCGTACTTTTGATCAGTGGTCAGAGAGGATAGGGGAAAGTCTGCAGAGACAAGATGGGTCCTGCAAGCCCCCCCAGGGAAGTGGCAGCACACAGCTCTGATGTCCCAAGATGAATAGATGGGGTAGATCACCTTGTCCTGAGCCACTTGGCTTCCAACACCCGCTCTTTCTCAAACCCACTGGTTAGGCACATGAGAAAACCTCACCAGCATGAGGGAGATGTGCTCTCTCACTCACCTTGTATGAGAGATTTGTGACATAAAATTCACACACCACAAGACCAGAGCCATCCTGCTGCTTCTCTGAGCAAGACCCTACGAAAAGCAGAGAAACAAAAGCCATGCTTCTTCTGCAGGGTATCATCTGTCAAGAAGCATTGCTTAGCTGCCAGCCATACTTCATGTTTAAGTCCCCTGCTCTTTGATCTGGGGGTTGTGAAGAGGCAGGAGCTGGGCAGGCATTTTTTGGATGCACATATTGAGCCATACCCCACTCAGGCACCTCCTGCCAAACATTTGTGTGCATTCAGAGTGAAGCAGGGTAGGGAGCATGTCTCCAAGCCAGCACATGTAGAGCAGCAGAGAAGAGGCAGCAGTGTAGGCTTCAGCACGAGCTGGACCAGCCCACTCAAGTATGAATTTGGTTTATCAGCAATAAGTATCCACACTCCTGTTAGCACTTGGCTGGCGAGCTGGTGTGGGTGTGTCTGTCCTTGCCAGAGTGACTCTCATCTGCCTGTGTCCTGGTCACCAGTCTTCAACGGCCCAAGGGCACAAGCAGTAACAACACTCTGCTCTGCTGCCTTTGTTGGAAGTGGGAACAAAGCCAGTGGAGGATAAAGCATTGCTCATTGCAAACACCTGCAGACCTGATTTTTTTGTGGGACCTATTAAACGAGCTTTTCGGTTTGGGATCACATGATATACAAGTTTTTGGGTGTTCTCTTGTTTAAGCTTGTAAGTAGCCATTGCATGCTGCAGGAGTGAGCCCTCTTCCCAGCTCACCACCTCTCCAGGTCCATCAGCCAGTCCACTGGCAGATAACATCTGACTGTGGCTTGTACTCTACTGCCAGCCCTGTGGCCACCACTACCAGATGGCCAGGAGCTCTAGACTGAGGCCTAAATGATTACTGGTTCTGTCCTCTCCAAAGGGGACCCCAAAAGGCCACCATTTCCTGGAGCATCTCCTTGCTTTGAGAGGCAAAACTTCAGTACTTTTGGTTTTTTCTCCTCTCCTCTCTTTCTAATGTAAGTTAGAGTCTCTAAATACCCATCACAACTCTACCTTCATCTTACCAAGGCATGGCTTTTCTCAACTGATTTTTCTTTTCCATAAGAGAGGGTTACCATTTGTCTGAACTAGCATCATAGGAGTCAAGTTGAAAGCAAAACCAAGCAAATATTCATTTAGCAAAACATTCAGATACCATTACAACAGCAATATTAAATATAAACCAAACTGACAACCAAAATTCCCCTGCAGTCTTTCCAACCTCAACTTTGAAAACCATGCTGAGGAAGATTAAGAAACAGAAAGAAAACTTGAAATAAAAGAGAAACCAGCCAAACTAAATCCTTTGATCCCACTGAGAAAAAGATACAGGAGGGAAAGAGCTAGCATAAATAGTAACCCTTTATTTTTTTTTTTGCTTCACTGCTGTTAGTAGCAGTGATCACTATGCCTCAAGATCCTTGTCTGTGAAATGGAGATGTTAATATATAGTTGTAGCTATATGCAATTTTATGCAATCTGTTAAATGCCCTTAATGCTATAGGCAGAAGGCCATGGAGGGAGGCAACAAGTGCTGTAATGAACTGCCAGATATGTCACTGTTCACTACAAGATCTGCTTAACTGTGAGTTACAGACTCCATATCACTCATAGCCATGCTTTGGCTTTATTGCCTCCCTTGATAGCCTGCGTGGTCAGGGTAGGCAAGACATTCCTATGGTGTTAATAATGTGAGGAGGCCTGCGTGTGCATGAGCACGTACCTGTGTATCTACACACGAAGCCCGTGTAGACTAATCCTTTTTAAACCTTTCTGCTTAGGGAACTGCATGGAAATCTCAAAGCTGCTGAGTGAGGAGCTTTCCAGCATCTCGGGCCAACTGTTTGGCCCTTCACCTGAAGTGGCATGAGAGAGGGCAGGGTTTGGGGAGGAATGGTTTTCCTGCTGGCTATACCCAGGCAGCCACTAGGTACCTCAGGCTGATGGCTGTCAGCCTCTTACATCTATTCCTGGTGTCTCCATACTTGTGATTAATGCCTGTTGAGAAATGATTCTCAGAAAAAAAGGGTCTGTGAGCAGTGGCCAGGCGGTGACTTGTGGTCACTGGTCCCTGACTGGTTTCGTGGCTCATGCCGTACTATCATTTGTGTGGCCTGCCTTGGGAAACTCAGGGGGGTTCTCTAACTGCTGCCCTGATTGCAAATGATGAACAAGAGGCAGAATAGCACATTTTTGGTATACCGAGTATAATTCCCAATCCCAAAAGAGGTCTTTCATGCCAGGCTCAACTGCTGGCCCTCTCTGCCCCAGATTTCATCCCACCTGTGGGGTGGGGGATGCAGAGTAAGGCAGGACTTTTCTGCAGCTCCAAGATTCAGTCAGAGTCAAGAAGTATTTTAAGCACTCCCCATCCCTTTCCTGCTGCAGCTGCTGTGCCCCATGCTGTTTCTTTGTAACAGAGAGAGAAGGACAGAGGCATATTTTCTTTTCAGCACTTACCGCCGCTCAGAGATCTTCACCATCTCCTGCCTGCAGGCAGAGCAGATGCTCCTATTCCTCTCTTGTCCTTTCCCAGAGAGATGCCTTCTATGGTTTTGCACCAATTTCCCAAAAATAATAATGAACTTTACTGAACAAGGAGCCACACACTTATTTCTATTCTAAAACTTACTCCACCTGCCCATTTTGGGTGAATCCAGCCTGTAAGTGTCTTTACTTAAAGGCTACAAACAGCCTCAGACAGTGATTGATTCATCCCACGTGTGTGTTGTACTTGTCACCCTGGGCTCTAGACTAGGGCCAGATGCACAACCACAGCTGAAAAAAAACCCTGATCTGTGGAAAAACTTTGATTTAGAAGGAGAGAAATAGTTGTATGATAGCACAGGGAATAGTTTTGGTATTCACTTATCCCTTATGCTGTAACTTTAGCAAAAAACACATGTAATTTTTTTAATTAAGGTGGCAGCTGGTGCTGCTTAGGTCTTTGAAGTTATGGCTATTACACAGCAGATCAGTGTCAAACCAAACTCTGTCACTGCACTCATACCTATCATGCCAGAGTCTCCCTCTATTCCCACACAAATATACTCTGGGAGATACTACCTGCAAAGCACTCACAGCACAAGAGCAGCTAAAATTGCAGTGGTGTGCTTTCTGGTGCTTTAACAAACATTTGCCCCTCCCAAAGTTCCCTTCAAAATCTGCAGCTGATAACCCTTCCCTGGGAGAGACTGGACTCTGCAGAGGAGCACTGTCAGCACATCCAACCTCCTTGCACTGACATCCCTCCCAGCACCACTACCCAAAGGCACCCTGCTCCAGGGCCCTGCTGCCAGGACAGGCAGCCATAGGGAGCAAATCTGCCTCTCACCTATTTATTCTGGAGCCATGTGGGGGTTAATGCTCCCTTTCCCAATTGCAGAGTGACCCAGGTGGGGCTAATGAGTGCTTGCCTTGCTTAGCTAATTAGAGGCGCTGAGAGCAGCAGGCTGCAGTTCTGGGCTGGGGCACTTGCAGAGGGAATATAGTGTGTAGGTTTTATTTCCAGCTTTTTTTTTTTTTGTCAAATAAAAACCTCTGGCAGGATAGCACAGCACAGATGGGAAAGAGCAAGGAGATGAGGCTCCCTTCTCACCCTCCCTCTTCTAATCTGCATTATTCTGGGGTATGAGAAGGAGGCGGGAGCAAAAGATAAGGAAGGCTAGACCATTTGTTCCCCTTCAAAGATAGAGTTTCAGTATCTGATCTAAATGAGCATAGTCCTACGAAGCCCAGCCTAGGCCTGTCCACTTCCACGACTCACCCCTCTCAAGGTGCCCACCATCTCTGTGGAGTCCAGCAGAGCATGGCACGTGAAGCTCAGGCTTTGTGTGGGACACTTGTGGACTCCAAAGTGCTCTGCAGTGCAGTCAGAGAGGGCTTTGCCCTCCCTCCCTGCCGTTTCCCCATGAGTGTAGCTGCCCAAGGTTGCTGAAGGAGAGCCTTCCCTCTCAGAAACGGTGGGAGAAACTGAGGAAGCTTTAATACGGCTGCTGGGCTCGACAGTCCTGCCCCGGCCTCTCCCGTTTGCACATTCCAGAGGTTTTGCCGCCGGGGTGCAAGACCCCGGACAGACAGACAGTGTGCACTGACAGCCAGTGCTGCTGCCTGCCACTCCCACCCTATGACAGCAGAGCAGAGGCTGGGAGTGGGGGACGGTCACCGGTGGGGGGGGTCTGTGGCACGGACAGTTTCCACTTGAGCTGAAAGCCGCCTGTTTGGGAAGGTTTGGGGTGCAGAAGCCCAGGTTAAGGGGCAGTGCTTCTCAGGGAGGTCATGGCCAGAGCTGCTAAGGCTGCTCCTTGCCAACCCGCATGTGGCAGCAGGCTGGCCAGCACATGACAGCTTGAAGGGATCTGGATTTTATTACAACATCACCTCTACCATAACACACCCAGAGAAGGCCCTCAGCTGCTGATGAGCCTGCCCTGTGCTCGCAGGCTTGACCTCGAAAAGTTGTGGTCTGAGCTCTCTTTTCCTTGCCTGCCCAGCCCTTTACACAGAAATTGCAGCTGCTGCTGAAAGGTGCTCATTTTTCGTCTCACTCTTGCAAGCTGCATTTCCCTTGCCTCTATCTAGCTGTTATGTAGTTCCCTTCATGTTGTTTTCCCCTGGCTTTTCCTTTGTTTCTTTCGTAGGGAAGCAGCACATCATTATGACTGGTCTTTCTCTGGAGCTCTCCTAGCCGAGGTCATTACTTAGCTTGTGAGATCCAACGAGGTGGCTGTTTGTATGGCTGTGAGACCCTGAAAAAGCAGCTAATCAATTCAGAAAATCATCTGGGTGGTAACCCCACTGTCAGCTTATTTTCTTCCCTTCCACTTAGACATCAAACTGGCTGAAGAGGGCTCTGGGGAATGAGGCAGGCACTGAGAGCTGCTCCTCTGCAGACACATCTGTGTCTTTCATCAGCAGGGCTCAGGGAATACCACTAACTGGAGAGGGGAAAAATCTCTTTGGAGCTGAGAGGCTGGCGGTCTCTGTCCTCTCGCTCTGAAGAGACCCTGCCCAGTGGGGAAGCAATCGTTTGAGAAGTGGCTAATGCACTAACACTGTTTGGCAGAGACTGTCACGTAATACACAGAACTGGGGGAGGATGGGGGCAAAACACACAGCAAGGAGGGCAGTGTTAGGCTACACCAGTGAGCGCACCCTGGTTGCCAAAATAGCTTGTAATGGCTAAGTGGAGCAGCAACTGGCAACAGCACATGCAAATGGCCTTATGGTAAATGAACTTACTAATTGTTGTGCTTCGCTTTCACTCACTCTTTCTCTGGTTTGTGTCTTTGGGCACTACACCAGAACTGGGAATGCTCGGAGCCATAAAGCCTTTACCATCGCCAGTTTTAGTTACTAGAAATAAAGATGCACAGCATCTTGTACTCTGGGACTCTGTGGTGTCATTCAGAGAAAATAAGTCACATCTGAAAGGCGTTCTCTGTCAGACCAGCTAGCCCTCTGAAGGGGGGTGTGTGGATGTGCATGGCTGTGTCACAAAATCACAGAATGGTTTGGATTGGAAGGGACCTTTAAAGGTCATCTAGTTCCAACTGCCCTGCAATGAGAAGGGAGATATGTCTTCAGCTACATCAGACTGCTCAGAGCCCCATCCAACCTGACCTTAAATGCTTCCAGGGATGGGACATCCACAGCAATCTTCTGTGCGCATCCTATTCCAGTGTTACATCACCCTCATCATGAAAGATTTCTTCCTTATATCTAGTCCAAACCTAGCCTCTCCTAGTTTAAAACCAGTATCACTTGCCCTATCACAACTGGCCCAACTAAAAAATATGTCCCATCTTTCTTATAAGTCCCCTTTAAGTACTAAAAGGCCACGACGAGGTCTCCCCAGAGATCTTCTCTCCTCTAGGCTGAATAATCCCAGTTCCTTATAGGAGAGATGTTCTGTCCCTCTGATCATCTTGCACAGCCCTCAGGGTGTGGGAGTCATTCCAGCAAGTCTCACTGCCAGCAATAGCCCTGCTCTGGGAACTGACCAAAACTTCCAGCCCAAGGCATTACCAACCACCCATTGCCAAGCACCCAACAGCCACCTGGAGGGGCAGGGGGCACCCTAGCTCCCTGAACCCTTTTCCATCCCATGAGGCATCAGGGAGGCTGCTGGGGGCAGAGTGGGACACCAGTATCCTCTACATTTCGAACCAGGAGACCCCAGTCAGCACCAGCACCCCCAGAGTTCTTAACAACCACCTGCCATAAGGAACATGGCACAGCCAAAACTGCAGCTCCCACTGCATCACTCTCAGTCTTTCCTGATGCCCTGGCTGCTTCTGTCTTTTGTCCATCCTGAAACCTCCAGCATCACAGGCAGGGACCATAGACTGGAATGCTCTGCTTTCCTGAAGGTCTCCCTTTCTTCCCTTTCTCTATGACTCAAAACTGTAGATTTATCAAGCAGTGCAGCAGATCAAAACAAAAATGTTTGGCTGCTGCATCTTCTATTCCTTATCCAGCACACTATTTTTAGACACCAAAGTCTACCGTAAACCAAGAAGTTTAATACTGACATTAGCTGCTTTGACTTCTAAATTTTTTACTGAGCACAAATTCATTTTTTATCAACAGATTATAGAAATCATGATATTCAGACCTAAAAGTGACAAACTCTTTCAAATATCTGTAAAAATGAAGTAGTATTGTCTGCTAACCACACTTGACTTGTTTGCACACCAACAAAGCTGAATCCACCACCTCAAACTCCCATCCCATACCAAAAAGGGCACATGGCATTTTGTCCCCACATTCTAAGAAAGGTGGGGAGAGAAGAATGGGATTTTATACTCCTTTGAATTGAAATTATATAAATTATGTAAGTTGCTGTTTTGTTCTACTTACATGCAAGATGTCATTAAGCAAATGTCTTTTCCATAAAGCCAAGAACACTCACACATAGCTATACTTTCCCTATTTTCCATGCATGGTACAGTGGTTCTACATTTATTTAGCAACAATACTGAACCCTCTGCAAAGGTTTTCTGTAAGTTCAGAATGGGAGAACAGCCTGCCTTTCAGGTTTCCTTCCTTCTGCAAGGTCGAGTGACATCCTGAGGTCTCCTTTTAGAAAGCTAACAAACCATGTTAGAAGAATAAAACAAGATCTTTAATGGAGAAGGCTTGCACTCAAGAGAACACACAGCACTGACCGAGGCCACAGTTCAATTCTTTGGCTCATTTTCTGCAGTGACACGGACAAGACAACTGCACACTTTTTTTAGAAGCAAATTCTGATTCTCTTCACAGACAGGCAACTTTGTCAAAGGATTTCAGAGACAAATGAAAGGCTTTAACATTTATGAAATAGTAAGTGAATAAGTGAAAAAAAAAATTCCTTGAAATTACTGTTTAAAAAATACCCACCTCAAATATGGGAGAAAGCAGGAAGTTCAACTACCTTCAAAGACATTGCCTTTCTACAGAGTAAGCTCAGTATAAAATGAAGATGTGAATTTGTTTCCTTTGGTCTCTCCAGCACTTCAAATAAAATAAAGCTTTTATCCTATTATGTTTTAAAGCATGACTTCCAGCAGAATAAACAGTTCTTGCCTTATTTCCTCTATTCTACATGAAGTGTCCTACCCGTGGATTTGGCCAGCAGTCTGGAAAATGTCAAGGTTAGGAAAGCCTGAGCTTCATTTGGTTTTCACAGATCTGAGTAATGAATTGTTCATTTTAAAGTATTGTTTTAGCTTGAAAAGCGAGTCTGTAGCCCTGGCATCATGGGGTTCCACATCTGTCTCTCAGTTTCTCTGGACCATGTTTGCCCAATTTAATAAAAAGGGATTTTTTTTTTTAATGTTTTGCAACCCTGAAAACTAAACAGGAGGCCTGAGGCTTTAGTGGGGTTTTCCTCTTCATATACCCTTATCAACACAGCAGATTTTGCTTGCTAACACTTTATCTTAAATCTCCTACACTGGCATTGCTATTGCAAGAAGACTGGATAAACCCAAGGTGCGGAAAAACGAAGAGCATCAAGAACTTGCTTTTGACACTAGACAGAGTACTTGTAATTCTGAATGCAAATGGGAAGCAGAACCCCACAGAAAAAACAAAGGCATTTTCCTCCCCAGACAGGGTTGAGTCAAAGTCTTTTTTTCCCTTCTTTTTGTTTGCAGTTTGATAAAACTCCATAAAAGAATGAGCAGCTCAAAAAGATTCACTGGGAACTCATCTCTGTGCTTCATTGTGTGAAAATCGGAGATATTCTATTACATCAGAAATCGTATCAGGACTATTGAAGGCAGTATCTTTTCACACTCTTCACATCTTACCTGTGGAACTTGCTTCTGCCACATGTGATGAAGCCCAGGGGTCTTAGCAGATTCAGAAAAGAGTTCAGCTGGTCTCAAACATTTTTACAGGCAATTTTAAAAGCTGTAATAAAAGTAGCAAAAACTTATAGTGATGTAAGTCCTGCTTACCAAAGCTAAATTCAGCCTTTGCCTGTGGAGTTGGGGAAACGTTTCATCAGTAGGGATGTTCTCCTGCTCCTACCTAATGGAGGTTTTTGTGTTCCCTGCCCATGACACTGATCCCTGGCAAAAACAAAGAGAAGAGAGGAAGAGTTAGTTTGATCAAACACAAAACCAGTTTTCCTACTTCAACTGCCGAGCACCGAATATGCCCACTGTAATGCTGACCAGTCCTGAGGGAAATGCAAGGTTAGAGGGATGGCTCAAGGGAGAGGTCCACAAAGTCCTCACCCCAGGAAGGGCTTGTGTTAGGCACTTATGAAAAAGTGCAAAAAGTCTTTTGCCTTATAAAAATGTCTTGGAGGAAGGAGTGAGTTCCACAGCTGAACTACCTGCTCAGGTGGGAAGCAAACAAGCAAACTTTCTTCTTATTAGATTTATTTCTGCCAGAGGTTGATTTCACTGGCTGTGCTGCAGCATTTGCATTTCCAAAGGGAAAGTTCCTAAACGTTTTCTCTCTAAAAGTATTTTACCTGTTTAAACATCCCTGCACGTTGCCAGCAATGTGCATGTACCAACTGCAGTTGCTTAAGGGCTGCTGGCCCAGGGACACAATTCCCTGTGTCACTGGCTGCTGCAACGGAGAACAAGGATTTAACATCACCCAAAAAGGGACCAGCCTGGTGTGTCTGCTCGATTGTATGAGAACAACTGGAGCTCAACCACCATATCCACACACTCAGTGCTGTTCACACATGCGGTGGCCTGTGGCAAGGCAGTGGCTGCCGAGTACAGCAGATGAGTGAAGGGGGAGAAGAGCAGCCCCCTGACCACAGCCAGGACCGCAGGGGGAAGCATGAGGGTCACACCCTAAGCAAACCTGACAGCACGTATGAGCGTGTGTTTAGGGGTAGCTCTTAGCAGAAGCCATAGTGGGCAGATTGTGCCTAAGTGTGAGAATCCCCAACAGTGGAGAGAAGACTGAGACTCCCCTGTGCTTTCTCCTGCCCATTGCTGCTCACCTTACCTGGCTGTGTGGGGAGAAGGCACGCACAGGGCTGGCTTGTCCTCCCTGCCTAAGCTGGTATGTTTAATTTCCTCCCAGGGTGTCCACTTGTTTCCTGGCCACTGCACGCTGCTTGACCAGCCCATGGCCTCCACAGGCTCTGGGGCCCTGAGGAAGGAGGGTGCAGCCAAAGAGGCAGAGCACTGACTGTCCCTGGGGTGGCTGTGCATGGGATTTGGAGGGGGATATGTTAGAGGTGGGGAGCAGGTGGCACAGTGCTGAGCTGCTCAGCTGTCGTGGGGCTGCAGAGAGACGGACGCAGCTGGGCGAGGGAAGGAAAGAGCTCAAGGTCTGGCAGTCTTTCTGCTTTACAGGTCTGCGGCCGGCACAGAGGCAGCAGAGAGTGATCCAGCTGGGATGCAAGGCCCTCGTGACCCCTTGAGGGGCTGTGCTGTGAAACACCCTCACAGGGGTGAGATGTGCACGCACAGGGTCCGTGACAGCCTCACCCCAAGGCCCGTGCTGCTTTGTGCTGGGGCCAGTACCCTGGCAGCAGCCCCTGCTGCGTGCCAGCAGGGGCCTTGGCAGTGCTCTCTGGGGCATACATTTATATCTGCTCATGCAAATAACCTGGAAGTGTCCCCCGGAGTGGGACAGCTGGTCCCCGGCAGCGCTTTTGGGAGCATTCTTTATGTGCCCATGTAAGTACCCTGGCAATCTCTTTTAGGGCTCGCCAGCAGGGGCCCTGGCAGAGGCCAGGAGGCAGTGTCTTGCTGGCTGAAGCCATGCCAGCTGAAGCTTTCCAAAAGCAAAGCTTTCTTCTGCCCCAAACAAAGAGCCAATGTGGCTGGCGTCATTGATTTGTTTCGTGACTCGCTGCTTTTAACACGGCAGGAAAAGGCCAAGAGGAGTTTTAATTTGTCCAAATGGTTTCAGACAAGGTTAATACAACTCATCGATAAATGACACTTTTCATTAAGTTTTAATTACCATGTCATTTCAACAGGCTGGACATGCCCTGCCTCCTCTGCATAGTCAGTGGTGTTTGTTGTTTTTTTCTTTAAGGTGCGCTTCCTTGAGCTTCGGTGATTAATTTCCATTGTGGACCTGGGAGCTGACAGGCTGCCGGAGAGCCCGACTGCCTCAGAGAATTCCCCTGGGCCCCCATCCCCACGCTGGCAATTACAGCTTTACATCCGTGTGGTGACGGGTGAGGCATGCTGGGCTGAGACAGTGGCAGGAGGAGGTGGGCCAGCAGTTTCAGAGGCATTAAGATGCTCACAAACTAAAATGCCATTGTTGGATCTTCTTTCTTCATGCTAATGGAGGTGCTCCCTTCCAACAAGCTGTGGCCTGGCTGTGTCTCAGTGCCTGCGGCACAGCCCTCTGTGTCTTTTATAAAGCCTGATTTCTTGTACTGCAGTAGGGCCTTGCTGGAGAGAAGCTGGAAGCAGAGTTTGGACTAAAATCTTTGAACCCAGCACACTGCTGTACCTTGATACACCATAGTCTTGGTCCAGAAAGGGTGCTGGTGGATGCTATTCCTCTCTTCTCCTCAGGGGCTGGTGAGGATAGCACAAATCCTCAGGGACCAGTGAGGATGGCACGATGCTGAGCAGTTGATTTTTCCTGTCATCACTCAGAGGTGGGTTCTAAACACCCGAGAGAGATGCAGACAGGATCTGGTTCAGGTCCAACTCAAAACAGGGTGAATAAACAGAAACTACCAGAATTGCTGGAGTCAGAAGTTCAGTTTGGCTGATAGTTTTCCCTCTCCAGAATGAAAACATGAATATTGTTTTAGCTTAAGAAGGTCTGTGCGTGCCCATATTACCCCTGAGGCGGGATTCCCTCCTATGCACTGCACTGATTTGTGTCCCCAGCACTGTTTCAAAATTTTGCTAAAATGGTTATTTTTACATGGTTTACAATTCCCCTATTCACTCCCTTTTTTAACAGCAACTTCCCACATTCCTTTCCATGTGATCAAGATCAATTATAAGAGTAGAGAACTTCACTGCTGCAGAAAGCAGTGTCTGGTAAGGACCTTTTACTTTAAAATGCCCTCTGCTGTTACCATAGGCATTTGAGGAGCTGTGGTGCTTCAGCCTGGAGATTGGCAGCAAATTACAGTCATCTCTTGCATCTACACCTGCCTTCAGAAGGCTCACACAGCATGGTGTCTAGTGTCAGGACTCTGAGTACATCCCCTGGGGGTTTGGCTCCCTGGTCTCAGCCTGACTTAGATAATCACACAAGTGTCTGATGTTGAAGAGAGCTCTTCAAAAAAGCTCTGCTAAAAAGGCCCAGTGAGGGCCTGTCCTGCTGTTCGCTAGCTGAGGCTCTTGCTCCCCAGCTGGGCAACCTTGCAGCTGTGTTGCAGCCATGCCTGTGCCATGTACCCTGTTTATATGGACCTTGGCCTGTGGACTTCAGTCCCTGAGTTGACCTTGGATCTGTCTCGTCACCATGGACTTGCCTGGCAATCACTGGACTGTCGGCTGAACTTGATTCCCATCACCAGACCTGCTCTGTTCTCCTTGGTTAGGTATCGTGGGGCTGTGCCTCTGCCAATGTGGTCACTGCCCCATCCTGCCTTCTGTCACCCTCTGCTCACCTTCCTCCATGGAGCAGCCAGCCCTCACTGCTTCCTCCCAGCTGATGCGCTGACTGATGCCTGTATCCCTGATATGTCTTGGGATTTTGCCTTGGCTGTCACCAACAGAGTGAAACCACAGTGGGAAACAGCCTGCAGAGGACATATCGATCGGGTAGAACATAAAGGAAGAAGCTCTCACATATTATAATGCAAAGCAGGGATGGACAGCAGCATTCCTGCATGTATGTGCCACATGCCAAAATCTTGCTCTGTGCTTCAGTTGAGAGGGCTGTTTCTCAAACTGAGGAAGGCCATGGGAAAGGCGAGTTTTAGGCAGATGGTGATAATGGCTCCCCAGGGCTCCTAACACGTCACTCTGGATGGGGCTTTACTAGGTGTGGATTGGGATCCTATGGGAGCTGGAAGGGATGGTTCCAACAGCTGTGCTTCCACCCACAACTGATGGCTATACAGTGAACCTCATGGCAGCACACTCAGGGCCATTCTCAGCAAGGTTCAAGAGCCAAGGCTTGCTCACTGGTGATTGAAAGAAGGTGGTCTTGAGCTATCTGTTCCCAAGGTGGGCTGAGAACTGGTTGTATTCTCGTGAATACCAAAAGATATGGGCTGTTTGTCTCAAAAACCCTGTAAGCCTCCTTGAAGCCTCTGTCCGTGCCTCACTTTGTGAGCTCAGTGATCACATTGCAGCTTGTTGCTGAAGGTCTTGCAAAAGTGGCACTGAACTATGTGTTTCATGCCTTTCTGGTCATCCAGGTTAGGGTGGGTGCACTGAGGACTTTGCTGCTTGCTGTGGTGATGCAGGGAGTGCTGTAGTGCTTTGGTAAAAGAGCACCTCTTGGGGCAATGCAGTGATTTAGCTGAAGGTAAGAGTGTACCTGCAGGATAAGGCTGGGAGGTGCCAGGGGACAAGAGGCACAGTGCTTTGGGCTGGGCTGAAATGCCTCTGAAGAACAGGATGAACAAGTCTAGGCGTGCCAGAAATGCCCTGAGCTTTGTCTGTAATGATCCCAAGTGGCTGGGCTCTGCTGTTGAGTGTGTACCCTGGGCAGGTGGCTGCTGTTGTGATGAGCACTCTTCACCTTGCTTTAAGCTCTGTTGCTCAGGTGTTGCTACAGCTGATAGCAATATAAATCCCCACAGAGCCCAGCCCTGCCTAAGGAGCTGGGTAGTGCTTGGGGGAATGATGTTTTGCTGGCAGTGCTACTAGTGCTGACTGGCTTGAAGCCAGTGTCTGCATTTGTGTATGGTGTATGGAGGTACCTGTAAAGGGAACGATGTAGAAGCGTTGTTTTGACATCTCAAGGCTTTTAATAAAGTTTGGAGGTTTGCCTAGGCAGGATGAAGCTTGGCTACAAGACAGGCACTTTTGGGCAGTCAGGTTTTAACTCAAATGCTCCTCACTACAGTTAACTTTGTATTATAAACCCATTCCAAATGCTGACTTGCTTGCCTCGTGCACAAATGGAAAAGAAACCATACAGAGTGGGCTGATTTCTGAGCAGCTGAAGGTTCAGTGTAGCTGCCAATGTGGTCCCCAGCCTTTGGTATCCTCTCTTCCAAAACACTTCTGGAGCCTTAGAGTATAAGATAGAGCCATAGCTTTGGGATGCAGTGTAGCATATGTCTTCTGGTGGGAATTCTATGAGAGCCCAGGGTGAGAGAGAGAGAGAAAGGTGGTGCTTTGCCACTGCAAGACCTTGTGCTTCTTACTGATTGGTCTTTGTGATGGTGGAGCAACATGAGTGATGTAGATACAGAGAAATGGAGAGCCAATGAGATGGGGAGGTGGTTGACATGGAGACACGGGATGTGCTGGCAGAGGTCACGGGGAATCTCACAGCTGCAGTGACCATGGATGAACTCAAATCCTCTCTTCCAATGTGTGATGGACTCCAGGGACAGAAGTGGGAGGATTAGGGCAGAGTTGTGGTTGGCTTTAGGTTCTGGTTGGGAAAGTCAAAAATGAGTGGAATAGGAGGATGGGAGTGGGAAGGATGTTTAGATGGAATATAGCTTTTAGGAAAAGGAATTTTGCCCCACTTTTTATACTAGGGCCAACCCCCACCCAACCACACTGATCCCTGGGAGTCACCACAGCCTGCTGATGGATAGATATCATGGCCCAGGCAGGAAACCTGACGTGAGAAATGCAAAAAGCAAGAAAACACTTCCCACAGTGGCACTGGGCTTCTTTCTTCCCCAAAGTCATCCCCTAGGGAAAGTGAGTCAAGTACACTTGCTAATATTTCAGGATATTTCGGTTGCCTAGTTTGCTCTCATATTTGCCTCTGTAGGTAGGAGAGGGAGAGAACACAAGAATACAAATAATAAACTTAAGGCTCCGCTAATAGTCTCTGGGAACCTTTACACAGAAACCTTGGTGACAGCTTGGGACCTGTCCTGGATGGTGCTGAGCCTCTTTCCCAAATACCCAAGGCTCTCAGCTCCTGCCCTGGGAGCCCTTGGCAGCCTGCTGTTTGCTCCCAAAGCAACGGGGTGCTCATACACACCAGCTCGCTTTGTTTTGTACTTCCTCTTCCCAGACCTGCAGTGTGTGGTAACAGCAGCAGGGAATTGGGAAGGGCATGGGTGGAGGATTTTGGAGGAAATGGTACAGTTTCACTTATTTATTTGCATGCTAAGCTCAGAAGAGCAGCAACAGCTTGGTGTGTGCTGGCTGCTGCACTCCTCTTGTTGGAGCTTGGAGTTGTTTGGCTCCCGGAGCTCTGAGACTGCTCTTGTGAGCAAGATTTGAATTTCTGCAGGTGTGCTGAGAATAGTCCAATCACCTCGTCTCGGTTGCTGGTCAGAGGAATTCATGGCTATTATATTTGGAAGCCAGGCAATGATTACAAATCAATGACTCTGCTCCTGGAGTGATTCATCATTAATCGTGGTGTTTAGCTCTTTCCCTGGCTCTCTCCAACAGCAGCTCCCATTCTTGTAGCATCTCAAGTGTCTTATTCATTTTAAATCATTGGATAGCTATGGCTGAGGAGTGGAAGGACAGATGCACTGAGACATGGTTGTGCAGCTAAGGGGAGGGAGGGTTTAGAAAGGGGGAAGGAGCACCTTGAGGGTGAGCAGAGCTTGGCTGTAGACTGGGGAACAATGCTGCCAACAAGACCCAAGGCAGACCAGCATCCTCTCTGCTCCAGGGCTCTCACTGATGTCCCTGCTGGGCTGGGAAATGGCCCATATTTTTGCCTGGCTGGGCACAAAGTGGGGTGGAAAAAAATAAAAACACCAACCTGTGCCCAGTTAGACAAAAGCAGGGGTTATTTAGCAGTCCAGTGGGGAGGTTTTAATCATCCCAAGCGTCCCAGGACAGGCTATTCTTAATAATAATGTATAACACTTAGCACTTACGTGTTTTAAGCATTTTGCAGGCGTTAACCAGGGACTGGCACTGTGGTCTCACCCAGGCCCAGCAGAGGGGCAGAAACTCTCCACAGTTTATCCTCATTCACCTGTGCACTTGCTCCCCTGTGGCTGTATTCCAGCCCCTTGTCCTACCTCATGGTTTTCCTCTCCAAATGGGACTATGTCCCTTATGCAGACTTGCTGTCAAACAGCAGCCATCCAGCCATTGTCCAGGGGACTGTGGCTATTTCACTGGCAGATACAGCAAATAATCACTGAAGCTAGGCAGGGAATTGGTCCCATGTCACAAATGAGGCAGCTGGCACAGATAGAATAGATAACTGGTGAGCTGGGAACACGTTTCTCAGCTCCAGCCTTCTCTTCCCAGCCTCTAGGTGATATTTCCAGGGCACAGCTTAGACTTCAGCATGTCCAGAGAGGCGGGGAAGCTGAAAGACATCCCGCCCCTCTGTACTCTCAGAAATGCTCCTTGATTTGGATCTGGCTTATGCAAGATGGGTTGCCCACACAGGAAGCACAGCCAGGTTTGCATCACAGCCTCAGGACCAGCCTCTGCTGGATTTGTTATCACTGTAGCCTTTGCTATCACCTACACACACTGCCAGGCTTTAATCTGGGGCTGGGATCTGCAGCAGCACACAGCAAGGTGACCCTCCACACAGAAGCTGCAGCAGAAAGGTGGACTTTGCAGGATGCTGTAAAGCACTGTATGAGATGCTGAGCTGAAAGACGAAGTGAAAAACACAAATCCACAAGCCTAATGCTGCTGCTGCCCCTGTGGTCCTTCCCCCTTCCTGCAGTCCCACAGTTGCTTGTGCTTCCCTTTGCACTGCTGCTGCAAGGGACTGAACAGTGGGAGCAGACACCCGGCTGGGGCCGCAGCAGGGAAGGTGCAGGAAGGAGGGATGGGAAAACATGCTGGAGTTGACTGTATCTGTCACCTCCTAGAAGCTTGAAAGGTTTGAAAGAAACTGGTCTGCATATGGAACTGAAACCGAACCAAGAGGAATTCACTGAGAGCACTAAGTGCTGGCCACCAGCTATTTAAAGCTTCCCATGCATCTGACATGCAGCTGGGCATAAAGAACGGGTATGCCTGCAGCTCGCACTGACACACCCTTGGCAGCTTTAAACTGGGCTTTGGAACACTGCCAGGTACAGCTGCAGCAGCTGGGAGGTCAGCGTGGGCTAGAAACCACCCAGGAAACCAGGGAATAGCTGGGCTACTTGATGAAAGAGAGGGCATGATTGGTGCCCCTATCAGCCCTAGCTAAACAGCAAGTGGGACCAGAGCCAGGGAGTTCCAGGTTATTTCAGGAGCCAGCTAAGACTGGACAGGAACTGCAATCAGTTTTGTGGAGTGACACACAGGACTATTGCACAACCTCCAGATGGGCTACCCACTTCTCATCAAGAATTCAAACCAGCTGAGAGATGCATTGGTGTGGAAACAGCCTCTATAACATTCCTTGTTAGTCCTTCAGACAGGGCAAGTCTTCCTATACCATGCCTCCATTCCCCGGGAGGTCTGAAACCAGGGCTGTGAATGCCTGTAGGCACTAGAGGAACCCAGGTCCTCCCACAGGCTCCTGGCTGGTGGCATCCATACCCTGGCTTGGGTCGTCCTGTTCTCCCTCCTTCCACCCTCCATGTCCACATGGATCCTGCCTAAAAGAAGCTGCGGTCTTATTTCACCATGAATTCTATTTTCAGAGCATGTACCACATTTTAATAGGGAGCAAAGC